CCGGGGATAATGAAAATATTAAATAAGTTCTATGAAATCATAAAAGGCATAAGGCATCACATGGTTAAAATTTTATGAAAATCGAATAATAATTGCCACTTTTATAGACCAAAAACCTTGAAAATCGTCTTTCTCTGCAACCGTAAAAGGTAGGAACCATTTTGTAGTATATGTATGATCGTATTGGTTCATTCTATTTGTTGATTGCAATCAAATGTCATAATTTTAAAAACATTACAAATCAGACTCATTTGAATAAAATATCTGTTTTAAAGGCTATAAATACACTTTTTGCCCATATGACGCCATTTCCGGTGACAGTGAAAATATAAAATTGGATCCGCCCAGTCAAAAATGGCATTAGACATCATATGGTGAAAAAAATTAGAAAATCGCATTATAATTAACTATTTTACAGGCAAAATAACGTGAAAAGTCACTCATGCAAAATTGCCTATTTCTCGGCAACTGCTAATATTACAAACTAATTTTGACATACATTTTCATCGTATGGATTAATGCTACAGGTTCGTGAAAGTTGTTAAGAATTATTTTAAAACATGAAAAGCCTGAATGCATTGTAGATAGCTCATTTTTACACCTTTTTTCAGCTTTAAATCAAAATGATGCAAATGCAAAACCGAAATGAAAAAAAAAAAACAAAGCAAGACATATTTTGCGTATGAGCATTCATCTTGATCTATTAGATTTGTAAACATTAATATACTATTCAAAAAAAGTAGGGGATATTTGATTTTTAAGTGTTATTAAAGTCACCTAATGAAACTGACGAAGAAACAAATGACAAAATGAAATGAAGTTCACATTCATCGATTTATTCCAAATGATCGTTAGACTAAGTAAGGCACAGACTGACCATTATAAGGGTAAAATGATACCCGGGGTCAAACAGCAAAGTTACCACAGCATCACAACCAAGTCAGTAACGGGTAAATCCTCCTCTGTTTGCCAAACAAGCATTGATCCGACGTGGCATACTCCTAATGAGACGTCTAAGGTCATTTTGGTCCAGATTGTCCTATTCCTGTTGCAACGCAGCAGCAAGTTCTTGGACATTGGCAGGACGTTGTTGACGTTGACGTAACCTCTGTCCAAGCATGTCCCAGACATGCTCGATGGGGGAGAGGTCGGGACTCAGTGCTGGCCAAGGTAATGTGGTGATGTTCTGTTGTTGGAGGTAACCTGTAACGATCCTGGCCCTGTGACATCTTGCGTTGTCATCCTGGAAGATGAAACGGCGGCCATGACGTCGTGCGAACGGCACAACATGGACTGCCAAGATGTTGTCCCGGTAGTACTGGCCTGTAACACTCCCTGCAACAACATGTAAAGCCGTTCTTCCAGCAACAATGATGCCTCCCCACACCGTAACAGAACCACCCCCAAATCGATCATGTCTGATGACGTTAACGTCTTGGAAGCGCTCGTTTCGACGACGCCACACCCTCCTACGTCTGTCCAAAAAATCAACAGTGAACCTTGACTCATCTGAAAACATCACATTGCTCCAGCGTCGATTATCCCAGTGTTGACGATCCCTACACCAACGACGTATTGCCTGAATGTGATGATCTCTCAAACAAGGGATCACGCGTGGACGTCGGGCGCGAAGGTGACCCCTATGCAGTCGATTCCGAATCGTCTGGCCACTCACTCTCACACCAGTGTCTGTTTGAAGACGAGCGCTGATCTGATTTGCTGTGATGACACGATTTCTCAAGGCCAAGGTACGGATAAATCGATCCTGGGCTTGAGTTGTCGCCCTTGGTCGACCTGAGCGTGGTCTGTCCTGTACAGATTGTGTATCACGGTATCTGGACCATAGCCTGCTTATGACAGACTGAGAAACATTCATCGTCCGCGCCACAACCGCCTGTGTTGTGCCGATCTGTAGCATGCCAAGGGCACGTAACCTTTCATTTTGGGTAAGCCGACGCATATCAAAATTTGTTTTCTGGTCACTAAAACAATTAAACTGATGTTTCCACCCTGGAATTCAATGCCACAATGACTGTAACATTCAAAGTCAGAGTCGTGCAAATCTTGGGTTGGACCCCCATGATGATCCCAAGCATCACCTGCATTCCATGCGGTAGCTATTGGTGCGTTTGGGCGTCACATGTAACTGGAAATGTTTCTTCTGTTAGGTTCTATAGTGACTTTTTTCGTAGTCATTTGCATATTTTAGTATTATGCCCCCAAAATCAAATATCCCCTACTTTTTTTTAATAGTATATATGCTTTTTAACAGACCTTTCGACACATCAAAATTAAAGTTTTAGGCAAAATTACGTCACTTCCGGTGCGGTGCCGACAGAAACTTTTATACGTAGAAGTAAGTTGAGAATTTGCACCAGGTGGGCTTTTCTTTTACACAAATCAGGCAATAAATAATTAACCCAGAACCCATACACTGAAATTAAAATGCGAAAAATCTTAAAAGGTGATCCTGACAAAATTGGTTATTTCTCGGCAAGGGAAGATATTAGAAACAATTTTGTGATATCAATATGATTCTATTGATTGATACTATTTGTCCATAGGAATCAAATATCATAATTTTACACCAATAATTAATATCGCTTACTTCAAACAATTACTTGTTTTACAGGCTAAAAATACAGTTTTTGCCAAAGTGACGGTACTTCTGGTGATAATGAAAATACTAAATTACTTGTATGAAATCGTAAATGGCATTAGGTATCACACAGTGAAATTTTTATGAAAATTGAATAATAATTGACACTTTTGTGGACCAAAAATCTTGAAAAGTGACCTGCTGAAAATCGCCTATTTCTCCGCAACCGAACAAGTTAGAAACCATTTTGTGATATCTATATGATCGTATGGGTTCATTCTATTAGTTGGTTGGAATCAAATATCATAATTTTAAAAACATTACAAATCAGACTCATTTGAATAAAATATCTGTTTTGAAGGCTATAAATACATTTTTTGCCCAAATGGCGCCATTTCCGGTGACATTGAAAATGTTAAATTGGTTTGAACTAGTCAAAATTGACATTACGCATCAAATGGTGTCACTTTTATGAAAATCCAATAATAATTGGCTCTTTTACAGGCAAAATAGCGTAAAAAGTGACTCATGCAAAATTGACCATTTCTCGGCAAATATTCATATTACAAACTAATTTTGACATAGATTCTCTTTGTATGGATTAATGCTACAAGTTTATGAAAGTTGTAAAGAAATATTTTAAAATATGAAAGGCCTGAATGGGTTGTGAATAGCTCATTTTTTCACCTTTTTTCACCTTTAAATCGAAATGGCGCAAATACAAAACCAAAATTTAAAGAAAACGAGTCCGATATTTTTTGCGCCCTTTGTAGGGGCATTTATCTTGATCTATCAGATTTGCAAAAAATAACATTTGCTAGTGAAAAGACGTACCGACTCGACAAAATTGGTGTTTTTAGCAAAATTGCGTCACATCCGGTGCCGATAGAAAACTTTACCGGTAATAAAAAAATTGAGAATTTGCATCATGGAGCATATGGACTTTATTTTATAAAAATCGGGCAATAAATAATTAACCTAGAACTAATAAACTGAATTAGCCAATAGCAGCCAAGAAAAATTATCGAGACAAAAAATGTTCATATTTTTGCTCAAATAAGACGACCCCTTAACCCTGGGTAAAATGCCAAAAAAAATTATTCAATAATAAAAAAAGTTTTTTGTTAAAATTTAAATTTTCGAAATTTGGCCCCTAATATCTCCGAAGATTCGTCAAAAATCAAAAATCTAAACTACCGTAGCTATGTGCCCTGTCTCAGGCTATGTCAAAATGTAACCAATGTTAAAATCCGATGATTATTGTTAATATTACTGCAATATTTAAAAAAATGACAACTTTGGCGTTTCGGACATTTCGCATTGTCGCAGAACGTTCGAAATAGCTTTAATCTCTAAGTCACACCCACTTTCCCGGTAAAACTGAAGGCATCGAGGGGGGGGGGGTTGGATAGCTTAGTGGTTTCGAATCCTCGGTTGTACGTGACAAGGAGTAGGGTCGCCTGTCCAACCTCGTGGGTTTCCTCCGGGTTCTCCGGTTTCCTCCCACTGCTAAAGACCCCTACGCGCAAACGAATTATAGAAATAAAATTGAACCATATGTTAGTCCCGAAATGACCTAGTCTGTGTCGAGTGGTCGTTAAACCCCATTTCTCTCTCTCTCAAGACATCAAATTGATCCGACAAGTAAATTCTGAGATATGGTCAAGTGGAAAACAAAAAAAATAAGAATAATCTTAACAAAAACAATAGTGTTTCACCAAACTATGCAGTGTGAAACCCTAATAATCTTAACAAAAACAATAGTGTTTCACACAAGCTACGTAGTGTGAAACCCTAATTAAATAACTCTAGGAGTACAGTATGCCGATACATTTATGCATCAAATTCAAATATCCAAATTTTTATGGCTTTAGGCTACTTTTCTGAATTTTTCAAAAAAGTGTTCCGTCCAAATCTGTACGAAAATTCCATAGGAAAAATGTCTTGTTTACATAAACCTTTCTTTTAATAGATTTTTTTTTAAAAATTTGGTGCAAAGCATTAGGTATGTGGGAAGATTCACCCTATTGCTTTTCAAAATTGTTATGAAGCATTGGATTCGGAACGGTTGTACCCTGTTCTTTTTCAGCAATTTCAAACGAAAGAGATTATCCTTTCGGATAAGCTGCAGTTGAAGTGTAAATTATGAATTATTAATTGTTGCTGACGGTATAAATCACTGCATTTTTATCACCTTCTATGGATAAGGATTAAGAAAATAAATTAGTACAGTAAGAAATGTGCATCATATTTTCTTTCCTTTTTACAGCCTCTATCTGATAGTTGAATCTTTTACTATGACTAACACATCATGATATATGCACGCCACTAAAAATAAAGGGCCAATTGGAAAGCAAGAGAAAATTATTTGTTCACTATTTATTATTTATTTGATTTACAGGTTGGAGATGATTTAAGACAAGATATGTTAACACTACAGATGATTAATATCATGGATCAACTGTGGTTAAAAAACAGACTAGATTTAAAAATGATTACTTTCTCTTGTCTAGCTACTGGACCTAAAAAGGGTGAGTAATTACTAATTTTATACTGGTAGTTACAGTTGTGTTGACAAAATGATGATTATGATCAGTTGGTGGTTTGATGATTGATGTTTATTTCTATATTTATGTGTTCCCGACTACAGTTTTCAATGGATTCTTTTCAAACTTTCTGCTCAGGAGTTATCCACTCTTTGCCGAAAATTTATAGAGGGGGAGAGAGAGAGAGAGAAATGAGGTTTAACTCCACTCAACACAAACTAGGTCATTTCGGGACTAACATGGTTTAATTTTATTTCAATAATTTGCTTGCGTGTAGGGGTCTTTAGCAGTTGGAGGAAACCGGAGGAACCGAAGAAAACCCAAAAGGGTGGACATGCGACCCTACTCCTTGTCACATACAACCAGGGATTCGAAACTACGCCAGTTGACTCAATGACAGGCTTTATGATACAGCGCGCACATGCTAACCATTCGGCCATCCACCCCCCCCCCATCCGAAAATTTATACCGGTAGTTACAGTTGTGTTGACGAAATGATGATCGTGATCAGTTGGTAGTTTGATGATTGATGTTTATTTCTATATTTATGTGTTTCCGAATATTGTTGGGTTTGTGATTGACTTTTCTATCCAGAGTTATGCCCCTTTTCCCAAAACCTTGTGAACGCAATGGAGGCTTCAGTTTTCAACGGATTCTTTTCAAACTTTCTGCCCTGGAGTTATCCACTCTTTGCCGAAAATCTTGTGAAAACGATTTGGGGTACATTTTTTAAATTTGGAGTGAAGCATTGTGGTTATGAGAGGACAAATCCTATCGATATTCAGTGTATCCTGCACTTTCCGTTCCAGAGTTATCCTCCCTTTACCACAACCTTGTGAACATGTTTTTATACACCCACATTTTCATGTTGGACGGATATTGTCATCGCCCCTGTCTGTCGGTTCGTCTGTATGTCCGTTCACATTTTGTTTGTGGACACTATACGGGTCACAATTTTTATCCGATTTTGACGAAACTTAAAATATAGTAAGACCTTGGTTGACCGTTCGATATTTGCTTGTATCGGACCGTAACTTACCGGATGATATCCCCTGATTGTATGTTAAGATCATGTTTTCAGCTTGTGGCCACTCAAAAGGTCACAATTTTTATCTTATTAAGATTGAACTTGAAATGTATGTTTATAACCCAAAGATCTTGATTCCTTTCGATATACATGCATATTGGACCGTAACTTCCTGGATTATGGTGCCTGATTGTACAAAAAAATTGTGTTTTTAGCTTGTTGTCCCTCTAGAGGTCACAATATTTATCCAATTAAAAAAAACAACGTTCGAATATTTCACCATTACACCATAATGACAGTTGAGTTGGAATTTCTTGAAAATAAGGACTGAAACTGCCGGACAAAATAGCCAATAGTGCAAAAGTATGTAATGCCAAGGTTTTTGGATCCTTTAGGGGTCACAATTTTTTTCCAATTTTGATAAAACTTAAAATATATGTTTATATCCCAAAGATCTCGGTTCCTTTCGATATTCGTCCACATCATCCATAACTTCCTGGATTAGTGCCCCTGATTGTACGAAAAATCACGTTTTTGTTTTAACTTGTTCTCTATCCATCACAGGGATGACGGTGTCTAAGTGGGTAAGACACTGGCTCGCTAGCCAAGAATTTGGTTGTTCGATCCCTGCATTGGCCGAGAAAGTTCATCCAGATTTTCCGGAGTGGTTCCCCCTTGTCAGTAATACAGGATGGAGGGCCTGACAAGGACAACTTTAGGCCATATAAGTGTAGGCCATAGTGCCGCTGGCAAAATTTACCTCATAGCATACTGTATGATGTATGCCCCTCTTCATTAGCCCAGTACGGAGCAGAACAGTAGGACGATAAATCCCATTTCATTTCATTTCAATTCTATCCATCTCTTGCAAAATGTGGGTGTATCTTAGCTGGCAACCGCTGGTTCAAATTTGTTGGGAAGCATTGGGGTCATGAGAGGATGATCCCAATTGATTTTCACATTCAGTGACGTTCCATTACAGAGTTATCCACCTTTTCCGAAAACATTGGAAAAAACGATGGAGGGCTATAATTTTTAATAGATTTTTGTAAATTTGGTGTGAAGCATTGAGGTCATGAGAGGATAACCCTATTAATATTCAGCATTATATGGAGTCAGACCACCATTAAATTTCACCATCTCGGTACCCACAAATTGTAGTTCGTCTATTTATAGCAATTCTCTCTCTGTCTCTTTTCTCCCCTTTTGCATGCCCATTTTTGTTGATTTTTGGGTCTAGAATGGATGAAGAGGGTTTGAATTAACATTTTCTGCCAGGTTTTGGTAAATATTCAGGATTTTGAGGCGGAAGGATAACAGGGTTATCAGGTTGGCTAAGGTGATATGTACGGCAAGTAGTTACATGTTTTTAGTATGCTTCTTCAAGTTTGTGTATCTCAACATTTTGGTGGTCAACCTCATACAAATTTTAGTGCAAAGACATGACCATTTGTTCCTCTGTCTGTAGTGAAAAGCATTCAGCCCAATGAAAATTTGGGGAAAAGTTGGAGGTGGGCAAAGATAAGCAATTTGATTGGTTGATGCTTTGGGACACAATAACTTAAGTTCTAATTTAGTGAAAGTGAGGACACTTGGTGTATAGTTTTATCGCATCAATACCCTGTCTAAGTTCGATAATGAGCACTTTCTGCTCAGGGTAAGCAGAGCGATATTGCTGTCGCCCCTGTCCGTCCGTCCGTCCGTCCGTCCGTCATCCACAATTTCTTGTGATTGCTTTAACTCCAAAAGTTATTATCTGATTCACTTTGTTGAACCTTGTGAACACTATTACGCCAAAAGTTATCTTCTGATCTTTGTGAAATTTATATGCATTTTTTAAATTAGTGAAACGAAGAAGCCTTTTGAATTCCAGCAATTTCCGTATATTACGTTTAGAGTAATGACCCTTGTTTCACTTTATTGAACCTTGTGAACGCTCTAACACCAAAAGTTATCATCCTATCTTTCTGAAATTTATATGCATTATTTGAATTAGTGAAACGAAGAAGTCTATTGAATTACGTCTAGAGTTATGGCCCTTGTTTCACTTTGTTGAACCTTGTGAACGCTGTAACGCCAAAAGTTATCATCTGATCTTTGTGAAATTTGTATGCATGATTTAAATTAGTGAAACCCGGAAAGCCTATTGAATTTCAGCAATTTACAATAATTACTTCTAGAGTTATGACCCTTGTTTCACTTTGTTCAACCTTGTTAATGCTCGATTGATGAAAGTTATCATCCGATATGTTCATTTGTGAACGCTCTAACGCCAAAAGTTATCATCCAATTGTTTTAAAATTGATATATGTTGTTTACATTAGTGAGATGAAGAAGCCTTTTTAATTTCAATAATTTCTGTTTTTAACGTCTAGAGTTATGGCCCCTGTTTCACTTTGTTGAACCTTGTGAACACTCTAATGCCAAAAGTTATCTGATCTATGTGAAATTTATATGCAATATTTAAATTAGGGAAACGAAGAAGCCTATTGAATTTCAGCAATTTCCGTTTATTACTTCTAGAGTTATGGCCCTTGTTTCACTTTGTTTAACCTTGTGAACGCTCTAACCCCAAAAGTTATCATCCTATCTTTCTGAAATTTATATGCATTATTTAAATTAGTGAAACGAAGAAGCCTATTTTATTTCAATAATTTCCATTTATAATGTCTAGAGTTATGGCCCTTGTTTCGCTTTGTTGAACCATGTGAACGCTGTAATGCCAAAAGTGAACATCCGATCTTTGTGAAATTTATATGAATATTTAAATTAGGGAAACGAAGAGGCCTATTGAATTTCAGCAATTACCGTTTATTACTTCTAGAGTTATGGCCCTTATTTCACTTTGTTTAACCTTGTGAACGCTTTAATCCCAAAAGTTATCATCCTATCTTTCTGAAATTTATATTCCCAATTTAAATTAGTAAAACAAAGAAGCCTATTTAATTTCAATAATTTCCGTTTTTAATGTCTAGAGTTATGGCCCTTGTTTTGCTTTGTTGAACCTTGTGAACGCTGTAATGCCAAAAGTTAACATCCGATCTTTGTGAAATTTATATGAAATATTTAAATCAGGGAAACGAAGAGGCCTATTGAATTTCAGCAATTTCCGTTTATTACTTCCAGAGTTATGGCCCTTGTTTCACTTTGTTTAACCTTGTGAACGCTTTAACCCCAAAAGTTATCATCCTATCTTTCTGGGGGGGTGGATGGCTGAATGGTTAGCGTGCGTGCGCTGTATCATACAGTCTGTCATTGAGTCGACTGGCGTGGTTTCGAATCCTTGGTTGTGCGTGGCAAGTAGTAGGGTCGCCTGTCCAACCTCCATCCGGTTTCCTCCCACTGCTAAAGACCCCTACGCGCAAGCGAATTATGTAAATAAAATTAAACAATATGTTAGTCCCGAAATGACCTAGTTTGTGTCGAGTGGACGTTAAACCCCATTTCTCTCTCTCTCTCCCTATCTTTCTGAAATTTATATTCATTATTTAAATTAGTGAAACGAAGAAGCCTATTTAATTTCAGCAATTTCTGTTTATAACGTCTAGAGTTATGGCCCTTGTTTCACTTTGTTGAACCTTGTGAATGCTCTAATGCCAAAAGTTAACATCCGATCTTTGTGAAACTTATATGCAATATTTAAATTAGGGAAACGAAGAAGCCTATTGAATTTCAGCAATTTTCGTTTATTACTTCTAGAGTTATGGCACTTGTTTCATTTTGTTTAACCTTGTGAACACTCTAACCCAAAAAGTTATCATCCTATCTTTCTGAAATTTATATGCATTATTTAAATTAGTGAAATGAAGAAGCCTATTGAATTTCAGCAATTTCTGTCTATTATGTCTATGGCCCTTATTTCACTTTATTGATCCTTGTGAACGTATTATCATCCGATCTTTCTGAAATTTATATGCATTATTTAAATGAATGAAACGAAGAAGCTTATTGAATTTCA